TCCAGTCCAAGTGAAAGTGGCTCCTCCCCTAATGACAGCGGCTCCAGCCCTTCTCCCAGTACTCCACAGAAGCTTCTCCCATCATCCACTGCTCCGTTCGGACCAAGATTATTTCACGTGAGGCCCAGCTCGTCTGGTCCCCCGAGGCCACAGCCTGAAGGCTCTGATCGTCGCAGCAACACAAGTAGACTGTCAGGAAAACTAGGTGGTCATGGACCATGTGGCCGCCACATCCCTGTTAAGATGGAGAGAATAAAGGTGTGGCCTTTTGTGTGAATGTTCGTACTTTTACAGTAGCTGTGTTTCCATTGACCATGAAAATGCGCAAATTAGAATTTCGAAAATACATTTGCTCAATGGAAACACGTCATTTTTGAAAAAAATACGTTTTTCGACAAAATATTTTTGCGCTAGGATGAGGTGGTTTTTCGGCCGTATCGAATTTGGTGTTTTTCGCAACACTGCAATGGAAACACTTTTTTCACATCATGGTGATCAACAACTGGCTGTTTCTACTGGCGAAAAAGACAGCGACGAAGAAGATAACAGGAAGTAGAAGTAGTAGTAATATCACAGAAGTAGTAAAAGAAATTAGTAAACTCACCGATTTACAATTTCCCAAAAACACAGCATACGTAGCCGCTCCCAAGTAGGGGCTTGTCGCTGGAAAGCCTCGATAAAAGACGCCGACRTCTCCTCTGATGATGAGCGCCAGTGTCGCGGTAGCAATATGCATGTGTTTACATCCGTTGCCGCCGTGTTTGTAATGACTTATCGCGAGAACAAACGTATTCACGCATGACTTTAATAACATTTCTTACTTAACGGAAACACCGCAGCAGTGAAACTGTTTTTTGACATTAACAGAATATCGACAAAGTTTTGCGCACATTTGCAATGGAAACGCAGCTACTGTGACTATGCATTTTAGTGCTGTAATTTAAATTAACGTGTTTGTTTGTTGTGTTATAAATAGGTTCTGACTGGATCTGAGGTGGAGAGTGACTATCAAGAACAACAGACCATTGACACTAGAGTGGTGATGGGTGAAGAGACGCTGCTCAAAACGACAGAAAACCAGAAGGGAAAGCCACTCGCTGAGCCAAGTGCWCGAGCAAATATCCCACTTTTTTCTCATCTTCAGGCACAATCAAAAGAGACCCAGCTGGGATCCGCCAGTGACAAAATCCAATCACAAATCCTTCAGAAACCAGAGAATCCGAACAAAGATCATGCACAGCCTTCTGTCACATGCCCTGTCTCCTCCTCAGAGTCGATCACAACAGGTGACATATTACCAGACATCCAGGAGGACAGGCAGACTCTCGCTCAAGATGAAGTGCCTTTGGTCTCTGTTGTAGCGCTGTCGTCTCCAGTTGCTCTGTCCTTCTCTGAGCCGACCTGTACAGTTGACCCCCTACGAGTTGGTGTCCCTTCGTCTCTTGACCCAGACCTTTATTACACTGCTCCTTCCACCCCAATCAAAGTGACCACCCGCTCTTCGCACCTTAAACATCATTCCTATCCTGGCTCTCCAGCGTTCCCCCTCTCTCCGGGCTCTCCCTCTGACAGTGAGGAACTTTGCTCTCCTTTAACCTCTCCTTCAGGTTCTTACATCACAGCAGAAGGAGGCAGCTGGACATCGTCTTACACATCCTCAGTCTCCCCTTCCACTTCACCAAACCTGCTTCTGGTAGAGGAAACACAAGAGGCCCCCGCTTGCTTTGTGGGCTCCTTGTCCGAGATCGGAGACGAAGTCGGGGAGGAAAGGGGACGATTAAGTTCAGAGCGGGAGGAGGAAAGGCCCGGGGACTTCTGCCAGTACCAAACTGAGGACTGTGGTATGAATTCACAGAGAGGTATAACAGACACAGTGATTCCTGAGGAGGAAGAAGTTCTAAAAGGAGAGAAGATCAGTACTCCCAGAGGAACAAGCTGTCCTTATTGGGTGACTGAAAATGCATCCCCTGGAAGAAGCAGCAGCAGCAGCGATTCTCAGGAAGATGGGAGGGAGTCAGAAAGTTCACTTTGCCCAATAGAAGAAGCCAGTGTAAGGAAATCAGAGTACTCCAGACCCATGCAGATAGACCTGAGACTTCAGCTGGATGCATGTACAAGTGTGATGGATGACCATTATAGACAGATGGATGCTCACACAGACATTCCCTCCACTGCCTTCACTCCTGACACAGAAAGCATGACCATGGCCTCTTCTAGCCTGAGCCCTGACTCACCACTCCTCTCCTTGGATGCTTTCTGTCATGGAGCCTTTGACCGACTTGGTCCAAGCTCCTTCATACTCTCACAGTCGGCATGTGCTGAAGACATACTGGATGAGGAAAGGATGATTCCTGCTTCCCTCATCTCCTTCCCACTTCACACCAACTTGATATTTAAGGCTGACTCAATGGAAATCACGCTCTTCCCCACAGAGGAAGAGAATGAAACCGAAGTAAATGACAGAGGTGAAGGAAAGGATGCATATGCAGATGGAGAGGAAGAGGCAGATGTAGAGGATGGCAATGACGATGAAGAAGAGAATGACCAATACGATTATGAGGGCGGCAATGCTGATGTCTCTCGTGATAGTGATGAAGGTGAGGAAAATGACCAAGAAAACAATGAGCAGGATGAGGCTGGTGAGGATGCTAAAGTAGAAGTGAAAGTAGTAGAAGAAGAAGAGGAGGAAGAAGAGGATGACGATGAGGATGAGAGTGATAGCAAAGCAGAGGAAGATCCTACAGATGAGGACAGCTCAGGGTCTTTTCTTCATTCGCTCTCGGAAACATCCATCAACGAGGGGCTGGATGATTCCTTCTGTTTCCAAGATGACTCTGATGACTCTTTAGACTCTGCTTCCTATAACGGGGAGGAAGACGAGCGCTTGTACAGCACTGAGAGGCACGCACAATCACTAGAACCCATACCAGCTGATGGCCTTGATCCAAGTGAAGTCCAATCCAAAGCTGAAACTAATTCAGATAAAAATGAACCTTTGCCAACACAACCAAGTTTGGATGAGCAAGTGGATCACAAAACTGTTTGTGCTTCTGAAGCCATTGTGGCTGAGAATAAAGGTAATGGCAGAGAGCTTCTAAACCCTGAGGCAGACCTTGAATCTGAAACGGCCAGTGGAGTAAGGGAAATAACAACTTTGCAATCAAGCACAGATAAACCAGCTGTTATCCAAGAACTCTCTCAAACTTTAGAGGTAAATCCTTGTCAACCAGAGTCATGCATTAATTTAAAYGAAAGAGGGGAGGGAAGGAATGTGACGAGTGGTGCTCTTTTTTGCAACCTCCTTGAAGAGCCTAGGGACAATCCTTGTTTTAATCTGCCTTTTCAGGTATCCTCTAATTCTGCTTCTGACTCYAAAAATGTTCCTCCTCCTGTCACTGATGTACAGGAAACGTCAGCACTGTATAGTCCTGTATTGCCAAAACAGTTGGCAGTGGAAAATCCCCAAGTGAAGGATGTCGCTTTGAAACTGCCTTCTGAGTCCACACAGGCAGAGGACCCAACCCAACCYGAGAGAGACTCTTTTAAACTGCTTATCAAGCCTCGCCATAGCAACATTGAAAGCCAAAKGACAGTAGGAGCAAGCCGAGTTGCATTATCAAAGTCTTTCTCTGCTAAATATGATGTACCCACAGGAGGAAAATCCCAGTGTAGATCAGGTATTACCACCGAGTTTGACGTTGAGCTTGATCAGAGTAAAGCGTCAGCTGAATCAGTCAGCAGAGATTGTAGGGTCAGTGATTCTGTTCCACCTCTAGACACTGTCACTCCAACCAATGATTTAAATAAAGGGGTTCTTCTTCTATCCTGTCCCAAAGACCAAAGTCCCAACCCCAGTAATATCCCAGTTTCTGCCACCCCTGAAGTCACTTCAGAACATGCTGACAACTTGGTACTGACTCCTGAACACTGCCCCAGTGACTCTGCCCAGGAGAACTTGAGGGAGAACATGCTGAGCGCTGATGAGGTTGTCCTAGGAGCAGTTGGATCCTCACACTCTCCCCTTGCCATCTCACCCAAAAGAGAAAATTCAGAGACGGACACCAGCCGAGAGATGGGTTATGAGGCTGGGGCGTGGTGTGACACCAGAATGGGGCTGGGCTTTGGCCTAGGATTTGGGACCGTGAGTGAATTTGGTGTCTGGGGAGCAGGAGAATCACTTTCTTTGTCTCTGGGCAGCAGGTATGAATTAGAGGCAGAGAGTCTACTCATGTGTGATACAGAAAGTCAGAGCACAATGAGCAGTCAAGTGTGCGAGAACTACGACAATGTTCTGGGTTCTATTCTAGACGAGGAAGATAACAACAGTCTGAGTGGGAAGAAGGAGCAAATGGCGGAGAAACAGCTGATTGAAGAGGGAGTTTCCGAATCCAACTTGGCTCATTGGAAATCCATTGAGGAGTTCTCAGAAGCATGCTCTGGAGGAGATGGGAGCTCCAGGATCTTAGAAGACAATGTCAGTAATTTCAATCCAGATGATGATAATGAAAACAAAGATGCACAAACGCAAGACCCTTGGAAGATTTCAAGTGAGTCCGCCTTTGTCTCCTTGGAAGAAGGCATGTATGGGAGTCTGAACGCTCTGTCAGGTGAAGTGAGACACCAGAGTCTGAATGTCAGACAATCTGTGTCCAATATCCCACTTGAAGGTTTGCCACTTCAGCTTTCAAACAAGACGTCTGATGAGGAACAAGAAGCACCCCAGGGCCGCATAAACCAAACAGATGTAAAACCGACCGAAATTTTAAAAGAGGTTGTCTGTAGTGTTTCAGCTGGCACTAATATGAACGCTGCTGCAAACGGCAAACCCATTGATTCACCAAGCAAAACTGAGTCAAGATCTGATACAACTCCAGAGCGTCTGTCTGTCTCTCCAGAGAGTAATGCATTTTTGTTGACGCAGGGATCTTTTGGGTCCTTCAGCCCTAAATGTGCATTAGGCATTGTTAGRCCAAAACACATTTGTGAAGACAAGGTAGAAAGTGCTGTCACGGTGAGAGAACAGCTTCCGACTGACAGCCAAAGAGACTGCGGTGTCAGTCTACAACCAGAAAGAATGGTTGGCAAACCAAAGACTAAAGATGCCTTTATTGGACATCAATGTGTTTATAACTCAGGGGATGAAGATGAGGAGGGCAAAAGAAAAGAAAAAACTGACGGAAAAAAAGCTGAATATGAAAATACCTCCTCTTCACCAAATGACTCAGAGCACTTTGCTTGGAACACACCTAAGGGTGGACTTTGCACAGATACACAAGCTGCTTCCACGAAAGAAAGGAGAAGGAAGCAGAATAAACACAGAGCGCCGCAGACAGGAAGTTGTGCTGACTTTAGTCCCGATTCTGTTGATGATCCAAAGAAACCCCACGTTCCCTTAAATCCCATGAAAGACAACTGGTCAAAGGAGACAGCAGACAGTTCTAAAACTAAAGCAGGTCATGATGCAAGTGACAACATTTCATCAGGGTTTCGGCAGAGGAAGTCTGACATGGACAAAGTTGAATCTGGTTCACAGATTGAAGGGTACAGCAGGCCCAGTGATGTCAAAAGTCCAAGATTTTGCAATTCTAACAAAAGTATACCAGACAACCTCAATACAGTGGTGGCAATGAACCCAGATCTGGATCAACAACAAGAACTGCTTGATAACAGACCATTACCTGATACTCAAAAGATAATAACAGACATTAATGACAACAACATCAACACGACTCCACTTCCTTACACCTCCTCAACCTGTTCCTCAGCACCTTTTGCTTCAGGAGAGCCACCGGATGGTCTATCCACACCCATTCAAGAATCCCAACCCGTCCTCTCGGCTCAAGAACAATCTTCACCACCCACGCATCAAACCACCCCTGCCCTTTACTCCACTTCCACAGCGACACAGCCGTCCCCTGAGTCTGGATTTCCCCGAAACAACCTCCAAGATTTTACTGACGTCTTTTCAACTACAAGCATCACTTCACCTTCACTGTCCACTGCCATGCCTTTGATTCTGTCCCAAGCTACCCAGGAGACAGGAACTCTGGACGTAGTATGTGTTCCTGAGTCTCCTTCTCATTCATATTCTTCACAATCTCAGACCAGTGTCAGCATGCAGTCCCATAAACAAAGCAAGCAAGGTCAGGCTGGGGTCAGCAAAGACCGGTGCAGAGGTGAGTAAAAATGAAAAACTTGTTAAAACAAAATAACAGTATAAAGTAATTCCTTATTTGTTTAGTTATCGCTCGTTTTCATCTGTGAAAACAGAAGAAAAACATTAGTTTGATCTGTTGGTTGAGCTGTACACATATTTAAATGTTATTTTAATATAAAAAATATTGTGATTTTTGTAGTATTAAAATGACTAGTTTCATGTACTCTAAAGGTACTTTTGTGGCTGAAGAGGAGACGGACAGTAAGGATGATGGTGGAAAGCACCAACAGGGTCACAGATCCCGGAGCAGGGGAGCTGCCGGACCATTGCAGAAGGAGTCCTCTTCAGCCAATCACCAAGAAATCCAGCCCTACTCCACCCAACAACTGACTGACAGACAGTCAGGCTGTCCAATCAGCCGCAACATTTTGGAGGAGACTGACCTGTCTGGTAAAAACAACTGTAAGTTGTTGTTTATTATGTCTTGTGTCACAGAGAAATCCCCTAAATTTTGTTAGCTCTTTTTTGTACGGTCCACTAGTCTTTCTGTTCACCATTTAATTGCTGTTTCATCGACGTGTGTTTGAGTAGAAAGCAATGATAGGTGGTACAAAAAAATAAAACAAAATGAGAAACTTWGACTTTTTTTGTTGCTACTTGTTTTTTTTGTGTTAAATTACATAATAAAGAATTGTAAAGTTACTTTTCAGCAGCAGATTTGGTAACTGACACTGATTAGTTGTGTTTTTTAAGTTGATAAGACTCACTCTTTATTAGCATAACATCAGCCATGACACCATGTGGTTATGGGTTTATAATGGTAAAAAGAAACGTTGCACTTTTATTGAGTGTATTCTGGAATAATTACTTGTGCAGGTTCCATGTTGGCGTCCTACAATGAGTCTGAAAGTGAAGGATCAGTACCAGACCTCGAGGAGCTGGAGCCACTGCGTCCCTTAGAACCACAGGTGAGTCTGTTTGTAACCGATTGACAAAGACCCCATTGCTCTGCTGGGTCTCTGCAGTTCTGACAAGTTTTATAACTGCAATAAAACGTCAGAATGGACTTGTTTTTTGGGGGGGTTTTAGCAAAAAAAAAAAAAAAACTGTATTGTTTACATTTTGTATTCTCACTTTGGAATGAGACACTTAGGGAAGCGGAAACTGGAAAAACGTGTTAATGTTTATGCTTTTTGGGGTACATATATTTGGTTTTTTACCTCACTTTGGACTAAAATTGAAAAGTCACGAGTGGCTATCTCTGCTACAACATGTCTTTCTTTTTTGTGGTTAACACTCTTGTATGTGATAGCTGATGAAGAAAACATTTGGATTTTACAGTATAAACCAAATCAGGTCTTTAATGGTAACACACCTTAATTTTTATTGAAAGGCCTGTTTGCTTTTTAAAAGTCCACTTTTTATAAGGTTACTGATTGAAAATGATGGCATAAGTTCTGTTATAGTGTTTGGCAGCCTGATTTTACTATAAATGGTCATAGTGATTTTTTTCATGCTCTACTTCCATGAAACTGTCAGTCATCAAAGTCATAAGAACTTAAGACATTGTTTTGATTATAATTTAACTATAGGTACTAATTATGTCAGATTTTAGTTGTTTTTACTTAGATAAAACACCATATTAGTACAAAGTATTCCTTCCTATTAGTATTCTGTACTGAGCTTAAGTTGTACTTTCAGATGACTTTTCATAAATTAGAAAACTAATAAAAAAACGAAACGTTACAGACTATAAAGTTAATGAATTGTCTTCTAGTCCATCTCCTCTGCAGATGAAGGGCTGAACAGACCCAAACAGAGCCGCAGTGAGAAGAAGGCCCGCAAGGTCTGATTGATTCTTTTATTTGAATATATTAATATATAATCAGTAAACATTGTATCAAGACGTCAGAGTTTAATCCCTGATTGTCTGTCCATAGGCCATGTCTAAACTGGGTCTGAAGCCGGTCCACGGTGTGACCAGAATCACCATCAGGAAGTCCAAAAGTATCTTATTTGTCATCAGCAGACCGGATGTATTCAAAAGCCCCATGTCAGACATTTATATTGTGTTTGGTGAGGCAAAGGTACATCAGCTTTACTTTTCTAAATCATTTAAGCTCCTCTATGTTTGATATTGTCTCCTGATAATCCTCTCTAATTTCATTATTTGTCATCAGATTGAGGACTTGTCTCAGCAAGCTCACAAAGCAGCTGCAGAGAAATTTAAGGTGCCTGTGTCCTCCTCTCCGTTAGCCCCATCGGCCCCACCCAGTCTCACCATCAAGGAGGAGAGCGAAGAGGAAGACGAGGAGGTACGAAACGACCGCGACTTGAAACCTCGTCATCGGACACTGTTTGGCTCACATATTCAAATTCAAAGATACTTTATTGATCCCAGAGGGAAATTAGGTAATATCCCTTTTCTTTCTGCGTATCAGGTGGATGATGGGGGTCTGGAGCAGAGAGACATCGAGCTGGTGATGGCTCAGGCCAACGTGTCCCGAGCCAAGGCTGTCCGCGCGCTGAAACACAACAAGAACGACATTGTGAATGCTATCATGGTGAGGACGACAAGGGGACACGGGGGAGGGCAAAACAAAACGATGAGCCATAGGGAGGGAAGGGACGAGAACGAGCAAAGGAGAGAAATGACAGGAACTTTTCTGTTCTCCACTCCTGGTGTCCTGCAGTGTCATGCTTTGTCCACAAGATGGCAGCAAAAAACTAAAAAATGTCCTGATGCTTTGACTTAGACTGTAGAATCATATCAGTAACCAATATGTCTTTCTCTTTTCGTGTAGGAGCTGACCATGTGAGTGAGGACCGAGGACAGTCTGAACCCTGACTCCCTCCTTCCAGCCTTTCTAAAGCCTAAACTCTGTGTATTCTTCTGTATCGCTGCTGCTGTAAGTTGCATCCCCAAATATCTGCTAAATAAAGTCTGTTCCAGCGTGACCGAACCATGAGATTGATTTCACTGAAAGGACTCAGCAAAGACACATAATCTGCAGAGAACCACCAAAAAGAGAGGTGACGTGGTTTTGTTTTTGCCCATAGCTAGGTGTGTATTTTTGTGTCTGTCTGTTAGCAAAATATATCATGAACCACTTGATGAATTTTATTGAAACTTTCAGGAAATAATTATTGGATATACATCTATAACTGATTAGTTTTTGGAGCAAATACTATTCAAGATGGTCACTAGAGCTGTTTATATTTAGAAAACACAAAAACGGCTTTGTGATAAAAAAAAACATACTCTGTACATCCTATATGAAATCATTAGATGTACGTCTACAGTTGGTTCAGTGGCGGATCTAGGATTTTTTTGAGTNTAAAACGTCAGAATGGACTTGTTTTTTGGGGGGGGTTTAAAAAAAAAAAAAAAAAAAAAAAGAAAAGAATGGACTTGTTTTAATAACTGTTTTTGAGGTGTTGATGAGACACTTAGGGAAGCGGAAACTGGAAAAACGTGTTAATGTTTATGCTTTTTGGGGTACATATATTTGGTTTTTTACCTCACTTTGGACTAAAATTGAAAAGTCACGAGTGGCTATCTCTGCTACAACATGTCTTTCTTTTTTGTGGTTAACACTCTTGTATGTGATAGCTGATGAAGAAAAACATTTGGATTTTACAGTATAAACCAAATCAGGTCTTTAATGGTAACACACCTTAATTTTTATTGAAAGGCCTGTTTGCTTTTTAAAAGTCCACTTTTTATAAGGTTACTGATTGAAAATGATGGCATAAGTTCTGTTATAGTGTTTGGCAGCCTGATTTTACTATAAATGGTCATAGTGATTTTTTTCATGCTCTACTTCCATGAAACTGTCAGTCATCAAAGTCATAAGAACTTAAGACATTGTTTTGATTATAATTTAACTATAGGTACTAATTACGTGTCAGATTTTAGTTGTTTTTACTTAGATAAAACACCATATTAGTACAAAGTATTCCTTCCTATTAGTATTCTGTACTGAGCTTAAGTTGTACTTTCAGATGACTTTTCATAAATTAGAAAACTAATAAAAAAACGAAACGTTACAGACTATAAAGTTAATGAATTGTCTTCTAGTCCATCTCCTCTGCAGATGAAGGGCTGAACAGACCCAAACAGAGCCGCAGTGAGAAGAAGGCCCGCAAGGTCTGAYTRMTKMTTWTATWTKAATATATTMAWATAWAAKMAKYAAACATTGTWTCAAGACGTCAGAGTTTAATCCCTGATTGTCTGTCCATAGGCCATGTCTAAACTGGGTCTGAAGCCGGTCCACGGTGTGACCAGAATCACCATCAGGAAGTCCAAAAGTATCTTATTTGTCATCAGCAGACCGGATGTATTCAAAAGCCCCATGTCAGACATTTATATTGTGTTTGGTGAGGCAAAGGTACATCAGCTTTACTTTTCTAAATCATTTAAGCTCCTCTATGTTTGATATTGTCTCCTGATAATCCTCTCTAATTTCATTATTTGTCATCAGATTGAGGACTTGTCTCAGCAAGCTCACAAAGCAGCTGCAGAGAAATTTAAGGTGCCTGTGTCCTCCTCTCCGTTAGCCCCRTCGGCCCCACCCAGTCTCACCATCAAGGAGGAGAGCGAAGAGGAAGACGAGGAGGTACGAAACGACCGCGACTTGAAACCTCGTCATCGGACACTGTTTGGCTCACATATTCAAATTCAAAGATACTTTATTGATCCCAGAGGGAAATTAGGTAATATCCCTTTTCTTTCTGCGTATCAGGTGGATGATGGGGGTCTGGAGCAGAGAGACATCGAGCTGGTGATGGCTCAGGCCAACGTGTCCCGAGCCAAGGCTGTCCGCGCGCTGAAACACAACAAGAACGACATTGTGAATGCTATCATGGTGAGGACGACAAGGGGACACGGGGGAGGGCAAAACAAAAYGATGAGCCATAGGGAGGGAAGGGACGAGAACGAGCAAAGGAGAGAAATGACAGGAACTTTTCTGTTCTCCACTCCTGGTGTCCTGCAGTGTCATGCTTTGTCCACAAGATGGCAGCAAAAAACTAAAAAATGTCCTGATGCTTTGACTTAGACTGCTGAATCATATCAGTATCCAATATGTCTTTCTCTTTTCGTGTAGGAGCTGACCATGTGAGTGAGGACCGAGGACAGTCTGAACCCTGACTCCCTCCTTCCAGCCTTTCTAAAGCCTAAACTCTGTGTATTCTTCTGTATCGCTGCTGCTGTAAGTTGCATCCCCAAATATCTGCTAAATAAAGTCTGTTCCAGCGTGACCGAACCATGAGATTGATTTCACTGAAAGGACTCAGCAAAGACACATAATCTGCAGAGAACCACCAAAAAGAGAGGTGACGTGGTTTTGTTTTTGCCCATAGCTAGGTGTGTATTTTTGTGTCTGTCTGTTAGCAAAATATATCATGAACCACTTGATGAATTTTATTGAAACTTTCAGGAAATAATTATTGGATATACATCTATAACTGATTAGTTTTTGGAGCAAATACTATTCAAGATGGTCACTAGAGCTGTTTATATTTAGAAAACACAAAAACGGCTTTGTGATAAAAAAAAACATACTCTGTACATCCTATATGAAATCATTAGATGTACGTCTACAGTTGGTTCAGTGGCGGATCTAGGATTTTTTTGAGTTAGGGGCCATCAAGGGGCCACAATATTCATAGAGGGGCCAAATATTTGTTCAACATCCTTACACATAAATCCWAAATTTTGGTAAGGTGTATAAATTTAACCTGTCACATATGATCCAACAACTGTAACGTAATGTAATGTTCTCAAAAAAGCTTTAATTCTYCATATCAGTGTTACAAACTGTATATGGAAAAAATATTCTCAAAGCATGAGAAAATGAAGCCATTATTTGCTCGTTGATATTTTTTGCAAAATTGTTCAAGTCTTTTGAAGAARATAAGAAGAAAAGAGAGAAGACTTCGGTGAGATTGATTCATGCTGAACTTTACGGTTTGACTCATTAGCACCTCTAGTGTTTGGGCATGGAACTGCACCCACCATYGTTGCTCTCAGGCAATGGGCAGATGAGTGACAGGACAGGGGCACTTCAGGGGGCCAATCAGATTTCAGCAGAGGCCAATGCTCCAGTGGCCCCACCCYTAGAACCGCMCCTGAGTTGGTTAACTTTTGGAATCAGTTCAATTCAAGATGACCATCACAGCTAATCAACATTAACCCAAACAAACAGCTATAGCTCAGTTTCATGTATATYGGGGTAAAATATTTATACTAYGWTWGCTGAGAGTCATTTACAACACATCCTCTGTTTATTTTACTTTTTCAGTATAAGCTAATATTCTTGTTCAGAGACCATTAAGCCAATTTTTTCTTCACAAAAACAAAGCTATTTCTCATCTCCGCCAAAAACTTACGGAAAAAATGTATTTGGTGAAAGAACAGCAAATTTAATATTTATTGAATCAGACAATGTTCTGTTTATATATACACACAGTTTATAGCTGATAGTTGGGAGTAATAAAAACAGCTGCATTCTAGAATCACTATTATTTGAGAGTTTWAATGTTTTGGGAATGAAAACGTCGGCGCGTTTTTCTGCTTGTTTTTCTGTTTGCCTCACCAAAGAAAAAACAACAACAACCGTTTCTGACAATTTCCCAACTTTATTGCACGAAACTGATCAGAGTGTGAGACACGGCGTGGGAATGCTCAGTCTGCTTCCACAACATTCCAAGCAAGGCCGGTCATCTGCTTYGAGTTACAGCAACGTCTGCGACTTAAAGGGATAGTTCAGACCTTTTACAGCGGGGCTCTGTGGAAAAGTTGTGAGCAATCAGCATCTAACCTGTTGTAGATAAACTTCTTGAACGAGCTCCATTCGAAGAAATAGAGCTTAGTTCTGAACAAACCAACGAGCTAACAGCTTTAGTGCTCAACTATCCACAACAGGTAAGATGTTGATTGTTTACAACCTTCTTACAGTAAAAGAGGTTAACTATCCTATTTTAGGCATTTCTTTGTCTGAATTAGCTCACACTTTACAGAAAACAATGCTTTACTGTTAAAAAAAAGACATTAATGAAGAAAAGACTTCCAGAGGCAACRTATTACATAATTAGAGCTTCAATAAGTTTGTGTTAGTTGCATCTTTTAGAAAACAAACACAACTGCAGAATGGCTTCCTATCCAGCCAGATGAGCTGCAGTCCAACGATTCTCCACAGCAGTGCAGTCGGACAGCTTCTCTTCTTCAATACGGAAAAACTGAGTCAAGTCGAGCAGCTCGACGACTCTTCAGGAGCTGGTTTTAGGCGGGAGGACGTTGTTTTCAAAGTGTCCCTTGTTAGTGATGTTCCCTGCWGGGAAATATCTGGCCACCACAAAGGAAGAGCCATCTGAGGCGGAGGCCTTCCCAACACCCAGCTTTTTGCTGCTTTTCCACACCATGGCTGTGAAATGTCCTGGGAAACAAAGACATCAAAAGTAGAAATAAATTAGGAAGAGAGAAAAAAGGGTGCAACGATACATAAAATTCACGATTCGGTTCGATACAAAAAAGATAAATGTCCATGCCCTTTCTAACTTTTAATTTATTTTAATTAATTATAAACATTTGTTTAACCTCAAAAGTCCAGTTTTTAAATTAAATGTTGCTGAAACAGCAAGTTTCTCAGTGGATCTGCACTCGAAAATGCAGCCTAGGTGGAGTAGTCGAACACAGATCCACTGATCCTTCAACACAGAGCATCTTCAGAAGACAAGTTGATAAAATTAATTTAAAAAATCTGTATTGTTCGATACATAGTGTGTGTTGAACCTAAAGCACTGTATTAAACTGTTTGATACGGGAACATGTATTGTTGCACCCCTAATATTTATAAGAGGATGAGTGGGTTAAACTCTTTTTCAACATGTCTGCAGATGAGGACTCGGGCTCTTACATTCATCTAAACATTTACAAAACGGAGGAATTTTTATTCTAAACTCTTCTCCATGCCTGTTCAGTTCAACTTCTTTATTGCCTGCCTCCTAAAAGCAAAAGCGGATAGTAATGTTTCCACCTGCGTCTAAGTTTCTGCATGTGTTCATTTGTTTGAAACGTTTGCAAATCATCTCATGAAACACTGAATGACTCAAAGCTTGCAGGAAATAATCATTGGATTTGACTTGACAAATGATTAAGAACAGGAATCAGTTTAATTTAAGATGAGCCAATTTTAGAAAACACAAAAATACAATTAATTTTACAGATAGAAAATAAAATTTGGTTTGGTTGTAGTACTACTCATTTTGCAGAATCTTTGCTTAAAACTAGCAATAATGGATGTGGCCAGTCCTGTTTGTCTGTTAGCAAAATATCTCATGAACCATTTGATGGATAATACAGTTTTTCTCAATTGTTTACACATATTTTCTGAAATCATGCTTTGTGCTCTCAAAACTGCACACAAATCTAAAACTCACACACACACAATGGGCAGAACAATCAATTCTGCAAAATGAAACTTTACGTTCCAATGTGTTTTCTTCTCAAAATGTTTTCAGATTACACACAAAGCCCATCAGATGAACACACATACAGTAGATAAGAACCAGTTGAACACTGATGTAAACAATGTAAACTCCATGACTTCTCCWTTCATCATAAAGACTCAGGCCCTTTTTTTAAATATTGTTTTTTTTATCCTCAGAACACACAAAAACATGGTGAAAAATATATTTTACTGTGTTTTTCCCACAAAAGAAAAAAATGTACACAGTGTACCAACACAAAGTTGCACATACAGTGGTCTCCATACAAAACAGCAGCATACCGTTACAGTAAGTAAACAAAAACAATGCTAAGACAACATGGTCAACCAAAGTAGCTTTAATCTCAGAGATTATTTATTTATTTACCATTATTTAACGAGGCAAATCCCACTGAGACTGTGTTTGTCTAAGGGTGTAWTCAGACCAGGAAAGTCCTTTRGTCCAATTGTTTGGTCCGGACCAAAAATGGACTTTTTTTTTCGTTTGGTGCGGTTTGCATTCACATTGTGCGTTTTTGCAAATGAACTGTAACTTGTAAACAAAGCCACGAGTGTGACGATCATTGCTCCCATTGGACAAAAAAAGGAAGGGGGCGGGACTGAACCACAGATCCAGAAGAAAACAAGGAAGTCCTGCATGCTGCAGTTCTGATGCGCACATTTTTGCTGATTGTACAACTTCAATAGCATTTAAAATGTCAGAAGCAGCTAATTTAATGGTGGTTCCGTGTTGATRTTCTAATTTTGGAGCGGCGTCAGTAAATGTGTCCCACAACCCAAAGGAGACGAGGTGCTCTGCGTGTTMTGACCCRCAACATGCCGGCAGTAGAGCTGCTAACAGGAGACGACGAAACAGGTATGTTTTCAGTTTATTTAGCTCAGCAACGGTGGCCTGTGAAGTCCAAAAAGGTGCATGTTTAATGCAGTTGGTTCGGTTAGAGTCCGGTCTGTATTCACACCAGAAGCAAACTGAAGCGAACCGCACCAGAGTTCGTTTGGAAGCGGACTGAGACCACCTCAAAAAACAGGTCTCGGTCCGGTTGTTTGATCCGCACCAGAGTTCACATGCGTGTATTCACACCTGCACAAAAAGTCCGGACCAACGCTGGAAACGAACTCTGGTTCGTTTAAAGCGGACCAAATTATCAGGTCTGAATACGACCTAAGTGATGAGTCTGTGTGCATAGTGGGAACATTAACTTTAGAATTTTGAATGTCAACATGTTCTTTGTGAAAACGAGGTTTTCGTCATGAAAAACACGCCATGATGCAGAGAACTGTGTAGTGTTTTGAATATTTAGAACTGAAATGTGAGTTGTGGTCATTTTGTCTCAAGTACCATGAAATGTGTCTAAAACAATCAAGGAAAAACTAATGAAATTTTCAGAACATCCGGTAAATCGTTCATCTACAATTGGATTCAGCTGAGTTCAAGATGGCCACCCCCAGCTAATTAACCTTAGCAAACACAAAAGTAGTCAGAACTCAGTCAGTTCACCAGATATTGAGCTAAAAGTGTGTGTGGTGGTAGCTGAGAGTTTCATACTCGTGTATGATGTCTGAGAATTTGATAGTATATGTGAGCGCAAGAATGAATGATGGCCTACACGGCCTCTCATATCTCATGTGATGCTATTTTCCAGGTTTGACCAGAACAGCTACAACTCTGTCATGTCTTTAATTTTCTATCAGGAAATGAATCAGTGAGTCACCATCTGCTTCCTGTGTAAATGAAGTCCTGCTACCAACTCACAGCCTCTGATGTGTCAGGTTTACAGGAATCCACCGGGGTTATCCAAAGTAGACCGATATGTCCCCCCCCCTCCCCCCACCTCAGACGATCAGCAACTCGTGCAGCCGCACGCTGATGTCAGCCCAAGAATAACAGCAAACTTCCCAGATGCCCACATGCAAAGTGACACGCAGAGAGTGAAAGTGACACAGAGCCAACGGAAAACGACAGAACGAAGCCGAGCGAGTGACGGATAAACTGCGACGGACGGAGAAAACGAGACAAAACACGAGGCGGCAAATTCACAAGTGATTCTCACCAGTGCCAGAGGAGAATCCGGGGCGGCTGAAGTTGTAGTTTTTCACTTCGTCGTACCAACGATCTGCCACGTCCTTTCCTGCGAGAGCAGCAGACCATTATGTGTCATCAGTTTGAGCAAATCCATCACATGCCAGATGTTTAAATGTTGGAGCGATGACAGCAGACAGGTTCCCTCTGAGCACAGGATGTTTATGTTGCTTACAGTTTGTCACAGAATATTAAACCGTTTCATCAATATTTAGACTTAGTTGGGATATTTGTGCAGTGAGTCATGGTAACTGAAGTGGAGGGAAAATATACTCCAGCTGCTCGGCCGCAGAGACCCACAATCAGCTGAAAGAATCTGCTGTAGACCTGACAGACAGGACTAATGTGTCTGCAGAAGAATATATAGTTAGTTTTTTATTAATTTTGCTTCTTTTAACCAAAAGAAAATCCTCTCTGCTGCAGATAAAGCATCACAGAATTACTTCCAAAGTTTAAACATGTGTGCCGTGTCACTAAAGTGGTTTATAAACTGATGTTTTTAGACTTTGGGCGAACCTGATTGGTCATAGGAGGCCCATGCCAGGTTTTCTCCACAGCTCCCCCTGCTGGACTCTTCGCTGTGTTTCAGGATCCGTGTGCTCGCCAGACTTTCAGCATAACTGAGGAAGGAACAAGTCAGGTTTGCTCAGTGCTGGTTTAGTTCTGCACTTTACATAAAAAACAGGTAAATGAACATCAGTTGATATATGTATTTATACTTCTCATCCGACCACAATCAAATTCTCTCTATCTGGGAGGTGCCTTGTTTTTTTCCTGAATGATGACAAGCCGAAGTGAAATACTTTTTGCATTTTTGTAAGGAGTGGAAAGTACAGATAGTTTTATAAAAACATATGGTAAAAAGTTTGTTTATTACTCCACTAAAGTATAAATAACCAAAAGTGTTTGTCCTTCATTACTCAACAGATGCATCCTGAATCCTAACAGGTTTATCATTAAACATTAATGATTGTATGAATGCAGCTCTTTGCATCATGTGAGCTGTTAAGAGTCTTTGAAGGGAACAAAGTTCAAACTTGATGCCAAACTCACTAAAACACAGTGATCTTAACATTAGAAAAGAAAAAAATTAATGATTTTATGCTCTTTTTAAAAAAATGTTGAAATGTCTAATTTGATGTTAAACCAATAAAAATACTTGCTTTATTGTTTTAGCTAAAATGACAAGAAATTCAGCTGAGATTTTTCATTTGTCTCATTTTAGCTGAACACCAAGTTAGCCCTCGTGATTTAAAAACATTTGAACTTTTTCAGTGATTTTTATTGTATAATTACCGAAGAGACACAATGATTAAAAAAAATTGCTGTTGGATTTAAAACTGCTAATGTAAAGTTTTTCTGAATCAAGAAAAGGTGGTTCATTTTAGCTGAATTCACTCTGCGATTAACCAAAAAATAATAAAATGATTATCCTCTTCCATAGATGGGATGTGACAGCAGTTTTCCCTTCCCATGCTTTACGGCACACCAGTAATTGGTACCTGTAGTCATTCCGGAGTCTCCCTGCTGTTCTGTTTTAAGTGCAGAAGACGCTCATTAAGTTTAACTGGCAGAGAAAGAAATTAATGTTCATTATGTTTACGCTCAAAAGGATCCCCTACGTTCCCTCAGCTTTTATTAACAAATAAAGTGAAATCCTAAATCATACAGGTTCTCTACTGTGAAGGTTGCTGCCATCACTACGCAGACTCTGAGAAAACTTTACATCCTCTGGTTGATAAGTTGTGTAATCTGTTGCCCCAACAGAAAAAAGTCACTTCAATTAAAAAAGGGTAATTATGTTAACGCAAGYTGATGTAAATGAAAATCTTAATCTAGAGGGGAGGAAGGGGAGCGTGGGGCAGGGGGTCTATTAATTAATTAGCTTAGCCCCTCTAGCTAGACATTGTTTTATGCATAATCTGTCAATTTAGCAAAATACTTCAGAAACTACTGAATATATTACAATAAAACGTTTACACTTGGTTACTYTCTGGCAATCTGATTCAAGATGGCCACCGCGTCTAATTAACAAACAAAACCTGGTATAMCTCCATTAATTTTACAGATATTGAGCTAAAATAAATTTAAAAAATATTATTTTAAAGCTGGGAGTCACCCCTAACTCTGAGCACCGATACACTCTGTGAACTCTGTTTACAAATTTAGCATGCAAGACAGAGAACAAGCTTCACGTCGTTTGGTGCTGAACAATAATCTTATAAATATTCACTAAAAGCACGTTCAAGTGACTTCCCATGGTCGGAGCGAGCAGCCATCTTGTGCAGGGCGAGGACCGTGCATCCTGCAGGAAAAGACTCGATTCTGTCTGAGTTTGTGGAAGGAGAAATGTGACTTCTGCTGAAATAAAATTGGTGGGTTTTTGATTCCTTCTCTGGAAACTATTTATGCTAAAAACACTCTCCAGAGCTCTGCGAACATTGTGTTTCTAAAAGGCAGAAGCTAACCAAAATAATCATTTTTAGTGGTCAGTAATAATACATTCTAATCCATTTTGGTTAAAATTGCAATTGGAAATTGTGACGTCACATATTGATCAGAAGCTGCTGCTGACTGATCCATGATGYGATGTAAATGTAACATTTTCTACATATAGGTCAAATTAATCACTGCAATAAAATAACTTTGTTTTTGTCACTTTTACAGTGGATTGCATCAACTCTGTTACATACAGAAGGGAAAGTTCACCAAAGTGAAACATAAATCTGTGGATCTGTGTTTGATTACTCTGCCTGGCTTTCTCAAGGACCAGGATGTGACACAAAAATCTGAATTATGGAACTGAAAGTGAATTTTAATAACCTAAAATACAGTTTCAAAGCAAATTAATTCAAATTCAAATCATTAAATTCAGTTTCAATTTAGTAAAATTCATTTTCAAACCAATGCATTCAGTTTCAAATTATGCACATTCAGATTAAATTTGAGCAATTCAACTTCAATTCCTGCTGGCACAAGATTTATCCCATATCAGGTCAATCTTCTGAAGCGTGCCTGATGCTTCTATYATATCTCAGGTGCTGACTGTGCTGTTCTCATGTTGGAAAGTGAATCAATGGGAAACAACAAAGTAAGCCTGTTCTACAGCTCCCATATTGCAACATTTTCCAACATATGACTAAAGCACAAGAAAACTCTTAATCCTGCTTTTAGTGCACCACCCCAGGGCTCCACCTTTCTTTCTTTAAACTGAAGGCGCCCCTGACTTAACCTCTTAGAAAGAAAATGACTCTGATTGTTGAATTTGGTTTAAAATTCATGCAAATCTGTCCCAAAAMAGTTTTGTTTTTAACCACTTAAACAGCCGTGTAACTCTCAAACATTTACATAAACAGGGTTTGCACAATCTAAAAAATTAATATCTTTAATTATCAGCTGGTGWTTTCAAAACTACTTTCGCTTTGCTTTAAGTGTTCCAGACAACAACTGTAAATATCTTTAGATTAAAGCCACATGTTTGTGAGTTAAATAGTTGTATCCATCCTTCCYAACACTAATTAGGTTTACAGAAGACTTAGAAGAACGAGTTAACTTCTCTAAATATTGTTTGGTGTTAACGATGTGGAAGGTTCGACTGAAACGTGGATTAATTTCACTTAATCTGTTTAATGCACCAGCAGAATTATCAATCTAAGCTGTAATCAGAGCCCGGATATGTAACGTGTTGTGGTTATTGTATTCGACAGGCTCAGCTGGAGTTGTCACAGTTATCCACTGATTCATGGAGTCCCTGCTCATTAGGGTTATAATTTGATCTGCGTGTGTGTGTGTGTGTGTGTGTGTGTGTGTGTGTGTGTGT